GGGGGGGATAACTTCATGCCCCGGGGGAGCTGCTTAATAAGGTGATAAGAGCATCTTCCTGAAGTAGACCCTAGTATTGAAGGCTCCATCTATTGGTGAGGAGCAGCACCTGCTGGAAATCAAGTTCAACGTCCCTGCACAACTCAATTGTTTGAATTAGTGTAGTTATACTGTGCCCAAAACATGTGTGTCTTCTGTGTAACCTGACTCTAAGTACCCTTGTGTGTTCTTAAAGCTATAACTGATATGTAATCCGTCTTCAGTACCATTACCGTTGTGTGTTCTCTAGGGTCAGGGCTGAAGTCTGAGCTGCTGTCCAGGCCCGTTGCCATTGTATGGTACTGTGGCCATGTGGGGCAGCTTTGGCCATCCCCCTGTGCCCACCCTCCCGAAATCCCGTATACTGTGTGTATAATGTGTGTATTTGTGTTGATGCAGTATGTATGATCTATGCTACATGTGCCAGTGCTGGAAAGTGGGTCCAACGACCATGTGTGGAAGTGTTATGATGTGGAGCTGTTCTATCTTAGTTATGAAACATGATGTGTGGTGTTCTATGCTGTATATGTATGTATCAGTGGAGTCATGAGAGTTGTGAAACATGACGTGTGGTGTTCTATGCTGTATATGTATGTATCAATGGAGTCATGAGAGCCTTATAAACAAATGAACAATTGAACAAATGAACAAGCACTATCCTGTTGCCATTCACTATTCTATTATTGTCTGTTCGTCAATTAGGCACTCTCCTATCTTGTGTCTATGTGCCTGTATTGTTATCATATGTCATCATATGCAGGTGGATTCCATAGCCTTCTCTGGAGATGTCTTTGCAGGCGCCTTGCTTCGCTCAGTAATTGGCGGGTGCGGGCAGCAACAAGCCCCGCACTCGGTCGAAGATCTCCTACTTCAATCCTTCCCCGGTCCTAAGCGGTGGACACAATTTCCCCATGTGATGGTTTATCCGTGATGCCCTCAATCCCGTTAAGCCCCCAAACCCCGACACCTTAAACCTCTAAACCCTTGAACCCATTGAACACCTTTCCCCTTTACCAGAGAGTCAGTTGCCAGATCATGTTTGTCTCTCTCCCGGTCGTGATGCGGAGTCCGTCGTTTATCATTTGTTCTACTAAGCCGATGACACATGTCGAGAACCATCGGCGGGCGCAACGCTACCAGGAGAGTTGCGCCCCACCTGGGCCGAAGCAACG